TACGGAGCCTTGGCCCTTCGGTTACACGAGAGGTTTTTGGCGAATTCGTGCGAGATAGCATGATCCTAATAGCGTGAGCAGAGGGGAAGTCTTTGAACCTCGACGTGCTGCAATAAATCAAACGTTTTCTTATTCCTATCCCAAGGCGATGCGCCATACACAAGAGGCCTTCTTTTTGCACTTAAGTAGAACCAGGTCGTTTCGTCCTCTTGCAGTTTTTAGCTTTTCGCTTTTCAAAAATTTCCTGTGAATCCTTACAGCGCCGCTAACTATATACAATTAAAGTTGCAAAGTTGCAACTCAATTTCTTATGTGAAAAAACGTCACGTCAAAACGCTGTCTATACTGAAATGTTAGTATTAACAATAAAATATATTTGGATATTTTTTTAGAAACACAAATAACATTTATAATAATTAAAAGAAAAGTTATTACCGAATTAATGTAAAATTTAAAATGAAATAATAATATTCAAAATGTGATTTGTAATATGTAATTTAAGTAATAATATTTAAAATGGAAATAAGAGAAGAAAGATAAAATTTTCAAGTTTACATCGACAAAGTGTAGTTTAATAATGTATAGTGATTTAAATTTAAATGTAATGATACTTGGTCTGCTTATTACACTTTTGTGCATTCATTTGCATTATGATTAGCATACATATGCGAGACTTAACGAGAAAAAGTAAGAAGGATTCATTGCTATGGTGGAAACAATTTATATAAACAGAGATAATTATACGGGCGAGAAAAAGTGGCTATTTACAATTGCATCGTGTACACGTTTGCCGCATGTGAGGGTGTCTATTTCATGTATTAAATCGCATCACGTGGTTTGTGTACGCATTACACTATGTCGAGAAAGGATACAGGTATTCCCTTGTGACTGCCGCAGCGATATTGATAATGCACAATAATTGTGATTGCTGTGCATTATGAGTTGGTTTGCGTTGCGCGAAATACTTGATTTTAATGATCTAACCTTAAATAATAGAGATTTATAAATGATAAGAATAAATGGTACAAGTGCAATGATTCACAAAATTTATTAAATATAAAAAAAAAACTGTTTTAAAATTTATTAAAATATTTTAAAGAAAAATGTAGCGTTTTAAAAATTCTTTTTTAAAACTTATTTCGTATATATTACTTTAGAAATACATATATTATTCGCATACTTATTTACGTTCTTCTGATAGAAGAACTTATATATTTATTTCTTTTGATAATTTACATATCTAATTTATTTTATATGTCTATTCTCTCTTTTCTCACTTCTTATTAAAAATTCTATTAAAAAATTTCCTAGAATTTTCAAAACATTTAACTAATTTTATGAGTACGCAATTATAACTGTAAGTCTGTCATTTCTATTTACTAAAATGTTAAATAAATTTTAAAATTTTTCTATTTTAATGAAAACATGGCATATTATAGCCGTATATGTACGTAAATTTGCATTAAAATTTTTTACTAAATAATTAAATTATATTTTTTATCATAAATATTATATCAGATAAATCCTTGAAAATATACGCAAAGAAAATATTAAAAATGTTATGACAAAAATTATATTGTTGATTGTACAGGAATCATATTTTATTAAACATATTAAAAGAGATTTTTACTTACGTCAATGACTTGCAAGAAACGTGAATAAACGCCGTTATAAAGAGTGCAATGAGATATTCGGAGTTTTGGTCCCACGAGTTTACGCTCTTGCAAAGAGGGAAGACTGACGCGCTGAAAGACGGCGATTAAAACTGTCTGTCGGCATTGAAATTTATTCTAACCGGTTACGCTAATCCCCGGGCATTGAGGAATAATTTAGAGAAAATAGAACAGTTTAAATGAGCGATAACTGATGCAATGTAGTCCGCGTCGGCAGACATTGTGTTGATGAGCAATTTACGAGAAAAAGGACACTAGACGCAAATGAATTCACCAGATAAAATATTTGTATAGACAGATAATCTAGCAGCATCATGTTTTATATTAAAATTATTATAAAAAAAAACGACGATATGGAAATGCACAAAATATTGTGAATAATATCGTATAAAATTTTGATACAAAATTGCGATTTCGAGAGTTAACAAATAAAATTCAAAAGCTATGTTACTTGCTTTCTATTTATATTTTACCAACATCGAACGGCGATCGATAATTCCGTGCAGCACATGTAATCGTTGTACTTGAGTTACTCGCGCAAAAGTCAGCGAAAAAGAAACGTAGAATTCCCCTCGCAATAGATTTGTCGTTGCCGTTCCGACGATTTTTCTCTGCCTGCGGAAAGCGGCGAAGAGAAATTTTTGGTATTCCCACAACGGTTTTATCTTCAGTTAAAAGAACGATTTTCGTCTTACCGATTGGATTGTTCGTCGATTCCTATTGACCAGCGGAATTTAATTATAGGATGCGCATTTCGGATGCAGACAAACCCGGCGGAAAGTTTTGCGGCAATGTATTTGCTCTAATCCCCATCATTGCGCATACCCTCTCTTTACTGGTCTACCGCATTTCTGTTTGTTGCAATCGGCTAGTTAGCTGATGTGATTGCTTTACACGACAATTCGGTAACTAATTACCTTGATTCGTAACTAAAGATTACAAGAGGCAAAAGTTTATATTTTAGATATCTTGTTAGATTAATTTTTTCATTTAAAAACTTTTTAAAATTACTTTTATATATTTTTAATATTTTTTATGTAATCTAAAGTCTTTCCTTTCTTTTATATATTCTGTCAAACTAAAGAAAATAAAATTGTAGCTGAAATGTATTTTTTATATATTAGTTTATAATAATAGTTTTTGCGGCGCGTATTCCGACAATCTTGCTTCTAGTTTTTATTTTTTTCTATATCATTGTTTAGATATCTTTTGAATTATATACGCAAATTCCGGAGTCTTCAAAATAAACAGGAAAAACCTAATGGGCAACTCTCGAAAAGCGGATTGTAAAAGACGACAGTCGGTTCAATCTTGACTTATACTACTACGACGGTCGGTCCAATCTTAACTCGTACTACTGTGATCGAAAAACCAACAGATTTTACATATTCTAATATACATCTTTTTTCTTAAAACGTTGTTATATACGTATATTTTTATATATATTTGATATTGTTTACAAAATTTAATACGGATCTCGAGATACTCAGCCATCAAGCAAGAATTTAACAAATACATATGCATAAATACAATATGCTGCATTGTAATTGACCTGCTCAAATTCTTTAAGCAGCACGCATATTACTCTTAAATAAATGTTTTTTTTTGTTAAAGAAATATTTAGAATTTATTTTCAATCTGTTATTAATCTTTTAGTGTAACGTATTTTCTAAAAGCTAGAAAACTTGATCGTAGACGCGCAACCTAGACTCAAGAGACAATGACCTCTGGAAATATTCATAAGCCACGAAAAGCCATCGACCAAGCGATCGATCTCACAAAGACTAGCGATTTATATGTCGTTATAAAAGTTTGTATCCAACCTCGTCGTCGCGATAAATTCTTCGATAACTTTGACGAAGCCGGCTTATGGGTGTCGCCGCGTCGCATACACCTTACTCTATCCTTCCAACTAGCGAACGACTACAGTCCAAGTTTTCTGCCGCGCCCATCATATTTTATAAACATTCTTTTAAGTGGATCTGAAAGGCACCATTAAGGCTAAAAGGCTAAAAATATGGGCAGCGGAAAGTGTGGGGCAGTGCCGTCGTATCTTAGATCGATACGCTCGCGCTCAACGTGTCACAAGATTTTGCAGAATATTGAAAAAGATAAAGTCCGTTCTGTTAGGCATAAAAGAATTTTAATTGATAAAAAAAAGTGTGCAACTATATTTATAAAGATACGTAGAATTAATCGAAATATTTATATCAACAAGAAAAAACCTTACGTACAAATACTCGCCGAAATTACATTAATTATTTCGTAATATTTCGCAGAAGTTTGTGGCCGTACGGCAAACCTTTAAGCTTCTGAGCGAGATACCTGACTGTGCCTAACTGCAAAGAACTTGTAGAACTTACTTGGTTAAGGTTTTGTGCGATGAGGCGTTGCGGATAACGGATACGAAGAAATATACTAGCATACCGAAGACGCGTTAGGGGATATAATGAAGTATTGCGAGAGAGCCACGCGCAACTCTTCTAATTTAGACGCATTCAACTTATGGACGATGTATTCTATAACTTGATAGATAGATTTTACTGCATATTTTCCTATTAACAATATTGATGATGATGGATATTGTAAAACTTTTAACGTAGTATTAACTTTTAACAAGCCACTTATTTTGCAAACTTTATTCTAATGCAACAAAGCTTTTATTGTATCATCATTCTTCAATATAACGGATTATATGTAATGCAAAAATATTCTTAGCGATTTACTGATATATTACGTGTTGTACATTAGTAATAAAGATAATATTTTTGGTCAATTTAATATTCGTAATTCTTTACGATTTTATTCGATTTTAGTCTTATTCAATAATATATTTGTTATATAATAAGCATAAGTGTATATATTTATATTTGTGTAGAGATAACAGTGGCCCTACTTTGCCTAAAGCTGATAAAATCATTTATTTTAGATAATATTGTTTTCTACTATTGGTACAGTAAACCGGTACCAGAGCTTGCAACGGTCAGAGCTTGTAAGTTTATGCGACCTTTATTTACATCAATCGGTACAGGAAGATTTTTACTCTTAACTGTATAATCTGTTATCGCTAAGTATATTTTCTACGGTATTTAAAAGATTATTTATTAAAAAAATAGTGGATAATGATACAAAAACAGTAGTACCTGTAAAGTTTATATATAATTTAAAACATTTACAAAATTAGCATTTTATTAGAAAATGATGCTTTTAATATTTTAGGAAAGAGAGGACTGCTAAAAGTATAGAATAAAAGACAAGTATAGAAATACAATATTTATTTTAATATCAATATTTATTGTATTTATGGTCTTACAATATTGATACAGATTTATTTAATGATTTGCATTCACAATAATACTGTCGTATAGTAATCAAGAACACATAATTGTTAAGGATATTGCAAACGTTGCAAATTACGGAAGAGCCATCGAAATATAAGTTGACGCAATTCCGCACAATATAAATTTAATTTATATTGCAGAAATAAAATTCATAATGAATAATTTCTCCATATGTAAAGAAGAAAATTCGCAAGCATAGCACAAAACTCAGTAAAAATTACATGATGATTGCTATATGCTGCATTCCATTGATCATGATGAACAGCAGCTTGTTTTTCTCCTATAACAACATAGGCAGATAATAACAAAATGTTAGCATTATAATTATAATAATGTTTTACCTATATCTAGCAAAAAATGTTATTTCAATTATGTCTATTTTAATACTTTTTCTCTTATTTATAAGATGAGAACTATTTTGCATTTAGAGATTACTATTATAAATTACATAGTTGAAGAATATCTATTTAGGGAAAATAGAAATATTTATGACGTTAAGAATGGAGTGTAATACCATTTATTTTCGTCATTCTTTTCTATTCTATTCGGCGAGCTTTTATTTAATTTACCATTTAGGACGTGAATGTGCACCGCGGTCGTGCTGAATTGGCTCACTGAGCACGTATATTCCCCGCTGTCAGTCTTTTTCGCTCGTTCGATATGGAGCCTCGTCACCACGTCCTCGTTCGACCTGAAAAATCGGTATTATGCAATATGTCGTTATACGCATAGCATACACGCGACATTTATGTGATATCTGTAATAATAGCCATTGTTTATCGAATTTTGACAATAAAAGATGGAAATGCATTAAAAGTATATAATCTTCAAACGTATATAAATATTTCATGAAATATCTCTGTTACAATCAATTTAATTGAATATGAATATTAAATAAAAAATTACAAAGTAAATTACATGGTAACTTTACATATTGTTTTACTCAAGTCACGTAATCGAACACGCGCGTGCCTAAAAGATAACTCTTAAACACTAATTCAACCGAGCTTGATTTTAAATTAACTTTGGCGCTAGTGACTGATAAAATTCGCAGAAAGACTAAATTGCTCTAGTTCGGTCCAACCGAAAGAAAGATAAATGTTCAATGTGTGTCGCAGCGTTTCAAGAAAGCTCAATCGTGGCATTTGTACAGCATAAAGCATATTCGAAGCTCGTCAACGCGTACGCCCTCCGGGCTTTAGAAGGTAATGCCTGGCATTGCGCGAGGATAAGAGTGACGATATGCGTATCTCTCTATGTATAGATAACACCCGCACCTACACAAGTATACATGCAAATCGAGATGCAGCTCCATTCACCCCCATCCTCGGAAGCTCTCTTCGATCCATTGCCACTTACGATTTATGCTCACCCATTAATGTGATAAACGTTGACGTGATCCGGCAACATCTTGCCATTTTTCCGCCAGACGGGATACGGTACCCTCGAGTCGGGGCAAGACGGCTGGACGACGCACGCTAGCTCGATTCCGCTTCCGGTCTTGTAGTACCGATCCCGTAACTCGTGTCTGGCTTCGTCAATAATTCTAATATCCGGCGCTGCAAAGACACAGACGTATCATTGGATACTATTTATGATTGACGAGAAAACTTCTTTTCTTTATTTCACGTATTTCATATTTCTATTTTCTTTATTTTACATACTTTCTATTTCTTGATTTATTGCGTCTAATAAACGATATAATTTAATTGCTGTAAGTAAAACCTACAAACATCAGATTTTTAGCAATTTTCATCCGAATCTTTATTCGACAACATACTTTGGGACAAGATTTTGATTTCTTATACGTTTATTTTCTTTCACGTTCACTTAATCGACATCTCTATTTTATAATTAAGCGTAAGAGAACACTTGTTTGGATAGAAGTTACTATAAACACGTAAATACAATAAACACTATAAATACGTGTAGCGGCACACGCAGACGTATTTGCTGATGCGAGAGAAGCGAGATAAAATAAAGTCGCATCGTTGCACAAGTAGCACTACGTGATACAACTGCGGGTTGCTTGTTCCGAGTAGGATACCGTAAGATTTTCTCACGGTAATTGAATCTTTACGAGGGTGGAATTTAAATTCGCAACGCTACTGTTTAGGCGCATTGTGAGTGCTAGCGATTTGCGATGTATAGACGTGGATTTGGAGTCGCGAAATGGAAAACAATGTGCACGCGGCAACCGACATCACGGGATTACACCAATGCTCTGTGATATATCGTTCAAAAAACCATCCGCGGACACCACACGTAGAATTCAGATGAAAGTTATCTAAAATATTCAACTTCCAAAGCGTTAAAGCATTATGATTTATTTTTGCGCTCTTATTATCATGCAAATATTGTAGAAATGATACATGTGCGTAAAATATTTTAATTATTTGAAGCAAATTTAAAAATAAACGTAATACTAGAAACTGTTTCGAAATTAAATTATCAGATACATCTAACACAGAAATATAATATTAAAATTTATATTTAATTATAATTATTTTTACTGCAAAATTTTATTTTAATTTTATAAGCAAAATTTCGTCGAGCAATGCTTGCATCATTGTACTGTATTTGCTACCGTATTTACGCACGACGGCTAATAAATGTTTATTTCTCGTTATGCAGATGTACCGTTGGAGATATTTTACAAGCGTCTACAGTAAACGAATTTAAAATATTTTGCTTTTTGGAGTAAGACGCAAAATAAATGATCGATCGATGAGTCAAAGAATTGTTTATATACAAATGGCGCGGCGTATGTTGCAATTAGCACTTGCAAATGCAAAAACAAAATAAAACCTCCGGAACGTTATATGATCAATAAAAGTTTATACGACGTCGGCAGTGTACGTAGTTAGCTCTTTTCGCGTTCGCATGACTATCAGTTGCAGGCTATATCTGTATTGTTATGGCATTTTTCTCATTATTGGCTCATGTTCTTATCGATTAAACCGTTTCTGTATTTATAAAATTGCACACATGCTTGGATCTTTTTTTATTCTCTTGTAAAAACATATTTGAACATTACCAAGAACGGTAACGTTCGTGATCAGCATTCTCGGTGGATGCGTATTCACTTGGCAAACGTAAACTCCGTGATCTTCTCTCCGCACGCCGGAGATGGCCAATCTCCAATTGTTTGGATACTGGAAGCTCACACTGTATCTCGAATCCGATATGTGGGTAGTATTACCGAGAGTTAGGAGAGATGCCCACTCGGTGTTTCGTCGTAACCACATGACCTGTAGTTCGCAAAATATTTATTTATTATCTTAGGCAGCATTGCATAACACATACGATAAGTGATTATGACACGAATATAGTCAGACGGGATTTCTAAGCAAGTAGAGGCAAGCAAGAGACGTTTCTCTATATAATTCTTTATTAATTCTTTATATAAAATATTAAAGTTGTAGAAATATATATAAAAAAATATTTTAGCTGTAGAAATATATATAAAAAAATATTTTTAAATCCTGAATATATTTGAACATTACGTTGCAAATTAATCATTTACAATAGTATCGATTTTATAGTACTGTGAATAATTGACAAGCACCGATACTTGATAAGCACCTTTTTCCCGGAGAGCATAGCAACGCGACAATCGAGAAAGGCTGTTGCTCCAAGATGCAATGCTATATTTTGCGAGCCGTTGATACCCTGGCCATCTGCATTTTCGAAATACGGATCCCAATCTGTCACACGGTGATGTCTCAAACGCGGAATTCGTAACGGGGGCAGATTGGCGATTATCTCTTCTGAAATGAATTATTCAATTATTGTCTTATTTCTAAATTGTACAGCTATCGGAATATATTTCTAATATCGATGGTGGTACAATATTTGAGCATTGATGTTGCTGCACTTAATTTTCTTATATTAGCTTTTAAGTGGCGAGAGATTTGCTATGTAGAAAGCGTGGATAAAGATTCGATCTATGTTTTCCAAGATACAATCTCAACAAGATTTTCGCGTAAGCCGCCGGAGCATCTAGCTTGAATGGCGCGAGTGTAATGGGATTCTCATGAAAACGCGAGATTCGTGTTGAAAAGCACGAAAAACGCGAGTACGTCATGTAAGTTCAAATAAATTGCATATTCGCTCCGCTGATCGTTTTGTGTCTCCACCAGATGGTAAAATATCTACTATCCGCCGTGACTTTTCTCTATGCTTAGGACGAAAAATGTAGCATATTCAGATACTTTTAAATTTAGGTCGCTTATTTAATCATGTTTTTTTCTTCAAAAAGTACAATATTGTAGCTTAAAACGAGTCAAGTTTTGCAAGTAAAAAATTTCCCCTTTTCTATCCTTTATTTTTCTCAATCTTATTATACGCTAACACACATGTAAGTTATAACGTACATATATTATAAGTTATAAAAAATATATTTAGTTATCACAATAGAATTTAATCTTTTATGATCTTCGACACGCTGCAAAAAAAATTGTAAAATTTTTACGCACATGGTGCATTGTAAACTTTATTATCGAAACATTTATCAAAATTCTTCGAATTACCTGCCAACAATATTGCGTGCCACATCTATATTATCCGATAAGAGTACGGAGCGATTAATTTTAATGTCTAGTATTATTCTTTTTTACAATGATATTATTCACTGTACTTTGCTGTTACTTATTGCCGCTATTTACCAAATTTATGTCGACGTTTTATAGTACACTATATACAGCGTGTTTGCTTCAAAACACGATTTTGTCACACTTGTAAGATGGCGGTAACCGAATAATACTTATTCGATTATTGTCAAAAACCGAACTTTAAAGTAATCTGGATTTTTCAGCGTAAAGCGAGGTGCAGTTGAGCTTGGCTCCAAAGCGAATGTGCTGCAATTAAAAAGCAGAGGAAAGAAGGACGGTAAAGAAAAACGTCGTAAAACGAACCATTTTCAGTAGAATATAATAGGTTCAGTTTTTTTCCTATTAATTATTCGATAACACTAGATATTCCGGATGAACGGTTACTCGTACTGTGGTTCTCGGACACGATAAAGGGATCGTTTAAAAGAGAAAATATCTGGAGAATTTAGAAACGGGACAAAGAGCAAAGAAATAAAGAGGCGCAAAATAAAGTTGCAGTCGAATAACCTTTTGACCTTTTATTTCGCACGCTTCGTAACCGCGTGTAGGTTTCGCTCGTGGTTCGCGAAGCACTCAGAAATTTTACGGATACTTGAAACACAAAAGGTACAATTATCCTGTAATGGTGAGCAGGTGGCTGCGCCGCGACGAACGACACAATGTTGGAAAGTTGTGGGCAAGGTACCCGCGGTATTTTATCTAGATGCTGCACTTTTCTTCGTTGCGCTCTGTGTATTGTTTTATAGCCCATGTGCATTTAAAATTATTGCAAGAAGTGTATTCTTTAAAAATAACATACGATATTAATCACTTAAATACTATAAGTTTATTTTATTCTTATAAAAATCGTTCCGTATCGCGTACTCACTTATTTTTAATAGCAGTAACTTCGCTGTCAGGCGCGCGATTGTGATATCTTCGAAAATTTGTATCGACAAAAATTCGTAAATCTGTAAAATTTCTACTAAAACAATAGTAATAGCCATAGCTCTCCGATCTCTTACCTAACCCTGAAAAGTCGTTTGCGAGAGAATTTCCACGAACGACCGACATGTTTCTTGGTGAGCGCGTAACGGCGCTTTCTTACGATCCCGAAGTCCACCGAGGTCAATCCCTGATTTTCTTCGTGGCTGTCGAAAACCTGGTTACCCAATACGAGCTTGCGTAGAGAGACGGAGCTATACGATTTTACACAGCCGCGGTACAAGCTCATCTCTTGTTCTGTGTCAGACACGTAGCTAAAAGTAGATTGTCCACCGTCGTACACACCTTTGCGAAATCGCGGAAATTGAAAACCTATTCGTCCTTATTCCGGGCACTTTCGTAATAATCTCATAGCAGTTGAAAGGAGATAAGACGTGAAAGTTCAAAGACGACACTAGGACGGTAATACATTGCCGATGTAAAAGACCGAAGAACTTGAGAAATAAGTACAGAAATAAGTACTGAATTACTTGACGGAGTATATGGCAAAAGTTCTTTCGAATTAATCTAGGTCAGTCAAACAATTAACTTTATTTTTCTCTTAATTTATACATTTTGTGATTATTTTTAATTCTTTTGTTTCTGAAGTTGAAATTAGGTACATCGCTTACAATGTATTCATGAATAATTAATGTAAATCGAGAAATAATATTTTTTCTTTGAAAAAAATTTATGTCAATCATTATTATATATCGCATTGAAAATTGTACATTGTATGTACATTAAATTATAATTACAATGAATGATTCATTCATTGTTACGTATATCTTTAAAACCGAAACTTTATAAGTGATTCGATTTGTTCCGGTCGACGAAGAAAGCCACCCATCCATTATTGATTCGATTATGTGGGAGCGCTCGAGGTTAACGGGAAAGGACTAAATGTCTTCGGAACGTCTATCTTTGTCTCTTTCACAGATTTCGCAGCTCATGCCATAATGAAATGAGCAAATTTAAAGGATTATCACTTAAAGAATACCGATTAGACTGTTTGCTTCGCAGTGTTCTAAATCTTGTGTCTCCGTTTACTATTCTTGAAGCGACTGCAATTTATTGGAAATCATGTAACCATCAACAACACTAAATTTAATTAAATTAGTGTTATCGAGATTTGATCGATTTATTATCAGATTATGGCAATTGCTACTACATTGATAATGGCTGAAGAGCATTAAGCAAGAAATAATATTGATTGGATTTACATGATTCGCTGAAGCTAATTTAATACACCTTTAGTAATTTGTGCAATTTATTTGTTATCAATGCAGTGCACACAAATTATTAGTAAAATCGCGTATTCCAAATTGATATTACTAATAGCACAAGCGGAATTTATTTATGCATCTTCACGAGTTTGTGATTACAATTCTGTAAATTCAATCTATCGATTGAAATAACGCAGATATATCGACGACCTGACGGATTAAGCGAACGTGGAGAATGTACATTTCGGAACGTTTACATAGCACTATCAATTTATTACCATCCAATCAAGACAGTAGGACGATCAGGCTTAACGGAGCAGAAAATTAAATGTCTTTCGCAATAACTGCGATATTTCACATTCGTTAAAATCTCTTTTTAGTCTTCTTTGCCTTTATTCTCCAGTATTTTCTCTTTAATTTATTTTTACACGTGATTTTCACGTGTCACAAATATTAATTACTATTTAGTTAATGTTTGATTATTTGTTTATTTGTATAAATAATATAAAGAAATTTCTCATTATCTCTTAAAAAGAAATAAAATGTAAACGTTTACATTTGATATTGTATTGAAATATTTTATTCTCTCAAATATGTATTTTATTTTAAATATACATTGATGAGATTATTTGAAATTCAGGTACAGCCGCTGTACGATATGTGAATAAAAAGATCGGGAAAATGTAGCGCGTGAAAGAATCCATGTGATTTACGTTCTCTGCCGTGCGAGCACTTAGCACCGCGTTGTTCTCAATTGAGAATAACGGGTCTTCGTTTTTAATTGTATTCTGGACCGGGCATTACAGTCCCTTCCTGCAAAAGCGCAGATTGTGCTGCTTTGCTGCTCGAGTGCGATGTGTATAAGCCGGCTCCGAGACTTTAGTGCCACTAACTAAAACGACTGCCGCGGCGTTACGCGTTCAACGTATATAATCTGGTTCGTAAATGCGAATCGGCAGCTGCGACCTGATAAAACCGTGCTCGCGCGAGTTTCTGTAAAGGAGACGATTTTCGCGGCTTCTCTCGATGCGCGATATTAATTGTCTGTGATGAAACACAAGTACATAAAGTACAGACGAATAAGCGAAAGTTCTGAGAATCCAAGCGTAGAGCGACACGAACAGGCAATTTTCTTAACGATTACCGTAAAATTTAACGCTATCCAGTTGGAATATTTTACCAAATGCAATTATTTATATACATTCAAAAATTATTTTTGCTTGTTGAAGAAAGAAAATTATACTTCTATATGAGTATAGTAATTTTTTGCCACATATAGTTATTTATTAATTTAATAAATAATATATTTTATACGAAAGTAAAATGAAGATATTTTTGCACATAATCTACTTTAAAGATTGCGAAACAGTTTGATAGACAGAAGCGAGATAGTCATATCGCGAACGACATTAAAAAAGCATTATAGGCTTCTGAACAACGTTCGAAGATACGGTAATATCTTGGTGCATCACAATGCGCCTTTGTGTTACGATCTCTGCGTTCGATGTTTTCGAGCAGGTTCTAAACCACATGTGTACCCTGCGGTAGTATTATACATGCGCCTACAAAGACGAGATTTGAATATAATGCGCAAAATACACTTGACGACGTGTTACAAACGGACGTGCAGTCTGCACAATCGTGTAAAACAATTTTAATCAAGAGTGTGTCCATTAGGCATTCGGGAGTTAACGTATAATGGAAAAAGTTCGAAATCACTGTACCTTTCATTAGCGCTAATGGCAAGCAACTAAACCCACAAACAGAAAATCCGTTCTCTCACGACACGCCGAGATCGGAGTGTTTGCCAAAGTGTTTTATTATCGATCTATGTATAGTTCCTCATCGATTATTGCAATCCATCTCATTTCAGATGGACGCCTGCTTCGCAATCGTTAATTGCGACGAGACTGTCTTAATTGGGACGCGGAACGAACGTGCCGCTTAAAGTGACCGAATTTAAATTCT